CCATTAAGAAAAGTGAAAGTTAGAGCGTCTTACTTACCTGCTTGTGCAGAAATCAATAGCACATAAGGAGAAAAAGATAAACAGCAGTGAGCGAGACGGAGAGCTGCGTCCAAAATGGGCTGACTCTATACCCATCTACCGCTTGTAATTTCTGTGGCCGACATATATCCAATCTTCTTTAGGTAACACACACACACACACCCCCACACACACACACACACACACACACACACACACACACACACACACACACACACACAGAGAGATATCCTTATGTGCTATTGATTTCTGCACAAGCAGGTAAGTAAGACGCTCTAACTTTCACTTTTCTTAATGGATGGATTCTAACTGCTTGTGCAATGTTTAGTTTAGTGGAGAAAACCGGCACTTAGTCTACCGATTACTTACGCATGTTTAATGTTAGCATAGCATCTTGGGCTAATCTGACTATCTTGACTACTCGTTGCTATCATAAGACGTTTTCTTCTGGAACGTGAAATAGCTACGTTGGTCCACAGGGAAAAACGTAGTATTCACAAATAATGATATGGACTCTGGTCATTAGAAATGAATAGGAACAAATATGATATCTATGTCACGTCTTCAGAGGGTTATATACTACTGTACATCTTGCCCTGTGGACCAACGTAGCTATTTCACATTTATTTTTGTGAGACTGGGTTGGTGTAGCCCATGTGTTGATTCCACCTGATAGCTCCTAAAATAAAATATAACAGGAAAACAAATACTGCTGAGCAGTGTGCTGCTTTTCAAAATGGCAAACAAAGCGAACAGATAGCTGTTAAAAGTAAGGCTAAATTAAACAGCTATGGCTGGCAAAGAAGCCCACTGACGTGGAAACAGGAAGAACTGTTTCTTAATCGGGCACTATCTCCGAACTGGCCCTTGAACCCTTTAGTGGGAAAAGGGTATCAGAGATGATCAGATCTACGGTATTTTCATCTCATGTTCCTTTCAGTTAAACATGGATTTTAACACCCATGATAAACCTTAATTGTGGATTACTTCCCACTTTCACTCTTTCAAGTTGGCACACATCAAATAGACTGTGGATTTGACCTATGACTCAGTATCTTTTTTATCTCTGACTTAGTGCATATTGAATTCAATTTGAGTTATCTGCTCTCTATTCACCATTCTCCTCTGTCAGTGTATAAGGCTGCCCCAGAGTCAAGGATCACAAAACTGATGTTTGAAATGCTACTGTGAAAAAGTAAATGAAGTGCCTCCTTCAGGATGCAGCCTGCCAGAATATGGGCTATATTGTAAATGGTAGACCTATCAATCTTTTTTAATTAGGATTATGCAACATTTCTGCCCTATCACTAACACACTAGGCTCTTTGGCCGTCATCTTTCTACATCATCTCCATTAGTCCAGCGTCAGAGACACATAATGAGCATATTATATCCACCTCTTGTTACTGTTGCAGCCAACTACAAACTTCTATTCTGGCCTTGGTGCAGTATCTTTGTCAGTCAATGGTGTATTAAAGAATGACTTCAGAGAGAGAAGAGCAGGCATTTCAAAATTGTAGCTATTTTTCAAAAGAAGGTATTGGATTTCCTGAAGAAAACATGATTGTTGTAGAGACAGTCTCAGATTCTCTCTGTCCATCTCCCTCTCTCCTATAGTGATCATAGCTTCTATTGATGGGCAAAGTGAGTCTCAGTGTGTCAATAAGATCTCCAGTAAGAACACTTCTATCGACTTCATCGGTCTGAGGCTCGACTTCCCTGAAGAGAATAGCAGACAAGAAATAACTCCCCTCCCTAAATACTCCATGCCTTTCCACCTTGGATTGTTACTTTTTGAGGGGGGAAAACAGACCTGACCAAGTAGGAACATCAAAGGCCGGATTGTTTCCACTTCACTGTCCTATATGTAAATGAGGAGAAAGCAGAAAAGTTGATGAGTGTCAAAGACAGGACATGTGAGGAAGAGAGTTTAGACGGAATATACAAAAAGAGAGAAAGCTAGGGGATATAAGGGAAGAGACTAAGGGGTAAGAGAGAGGAGACTAAAAAGTGGTTGATTTTGCACCCAGACTGTCAATCCAGGCAATACACATTGACATGTTAAAGAATATTCTTTCTGAATTAATTAATTATAAAAAAACTAAGAGATTTTTGCAAAGCTCAGACCAGAGCTTTGCAAAAGCAACACCCCCTCAGAAAAATATTGACACAAAAAGAGTAATATTTGTTTTGACATGATTTACCCTCAGAACTTCCATCAACATGGTTGTTAAACTCCCCCAAAACAGTGACACTCTTCTCTACTCATCCATGTAATGATATGTGAGTGTTGTGAAGCTAAGCATATGAGTCATATCTGGTATGTAGGGGCGCAGATGACTTGTCTTAGGGGACACAGTGTGACAGTGTTAAAACCCCTAGCTTAGACCATGACTAGAACATTTTCTAGCTTAATTATAGGGCGGACCGCGTAAAAAGCTAAAACAAAAAGAGCATCAACAAGTCTTTGCTAGGATTACTGCATCTTGTTCCTCTGAGGTCTTTACACTTGAAGTGGCTGCTGACTAAAGTACATCCTCAAAGACCAATAAAAAGAGCTTATTGGTCTGCCAACCTATATCTACTTGTTTATGGATGGATGTGTTGGAGTGTGTGGAGGAGATACAGGAGATACAGTACATATTTCTTATTTACTTTCTCCCACTCCCTGGCCTTCATAACAATACTATGAGCAAGAGAAAGGTACAGATTTATTCATTAGGCTGCTGCTGGAGAATAGGTGCCGTCCATTATGTATTAATTTTCTCTGTTTATTCCGAGAATTGGTAAGGCATTGCCATAGATTGTATATATAAAGGGTATTGCATGTAATGTGCAGCCGACATCATCTGTCATGTCTGGAGAGTGCTTCAGCTCCCTGGGAGAAAGAAGCAAATCATCAGTAATGTATTGTAGATGCCAGAACTTTAGCACCACGGGGAGTATTCAGCACATTTTCATCACATTGTATAATTAACTGCCATACCTTGTTATAATTACTCTAAACAAATGAGACCACTGTGAAGACAGTGTGTTGCTTCTTTCGAAAGCATTACCATATCTACAACAGGGAGAATGACATTTTCTATTTTTCTCAAAATTAACACCCTTCCTCCTGTGATTCATTCAACAAGATCAATGATTAGGTTCAGGGCTTTTGAAAACTCCTCAAGGTTGTGTCCAATAACAAGGAAGCCATGGAGTGAAGGTTGCCTGTTTGAAAATCATATTAAAACTATGTTTATATATTTCAGCTTCATCACTGCAATGAAAAGTTGGAGAATCTTTGTGCACATTTGTCTTGCAGGCACATTTTTTTCAAATGTATTAGGAGCTCGGCCAGACCCTAAATCATTTGATTATTAAGTTGCTTTTTATTAAACCCAGCTCGGTGCACACATTTAAAGACCGAACAAAAGGAGGAATACATAAATGCCCAACCAGAACAACACAAACATAAACATATACACACACACACACACACACACACACACACACACACACACACACACACACACACACACACACACACACACACACACACACACACACACACACACACACACACACACGGGAGCTGGCGCCACTATCAGCAG